CTCCTCTCCCTCCCTTCTAGCACTGATGATATTCCCTAGCTGGGTCATGAAACGTCTACAAGAAAGCAACCCAGCTCAGAGAGCACCAAGGATTCCACGTTTAACTGTACCCCCTGCCTGGGGGGTCTTCCTGCAGGCGGCCGCCAACGAGAGGAAGTCGGAAATGCTTCCTGCCGGCTGGAACGCGGACAAGGAACTCTACACTCTGCGCTACCGACTGAAGGACGATTCCCACGACCTGCTGGTGAAGGCCATTTTGATGGACAACAGCATCATTCTCAACGTCATGGTGAGGCTGCTTTTGGGGGGCGGGGGCACTGATTCGGGCTCCCCAAAAGGAGAAGAAAACTTTGCATTTAATTCTTCTCCCGAAGGATAGAGATGAAAACCCAGAGCAGTCAAAGTCTTATGGACTGGACATTGCCTGCCATAAAGATTTTGGTCTCTTTTGAACTCAGAGGAGAAGCTGGAAGTGGGCGAGTCATGGGTCTGGGAGTACCCCCCTCTACCAGGTCACCCCGTTGTTCTCTCAAAGCCCAGCAATTGTTTTGGGTCCGAGAGACACCCAACTGTTCTGACCCAAGCTTCCCAAAATCACAAAGCCGACCCCTTTTATTTAGGCTAATGTGAATTTCTCTCCTCCGCATCCAGCAACGTCCTGGCAAACAGCCTTTCAAGAGTGATTTACAACCACAGACCTTGATCAGGCGTGGAGAGTTGCCAGGCCGATAGCTTCCAAACGCCACGCTGTAGCAGCAATGACTTGGCAAGAAGTCAGGCACAGATCTTCACCCTAATGAATTGAACGAATTGTCTCCTGCAAACCCCACTCCCCTTTCGTTCCTCTTTTATTCCCTAGGGGAGGGGTTATTCACCGTCCACCTGAGCCTTTACTCCCGACTCGACCCTTGTTCCTTAGCTGTTCCCTTCCTCTGGCAGCTCTGTGCGTGCGCACACTGGGAACAGGCTCCAGCTGTTCTTCTTCCCCACTGATCTCTGACTCCGAAGGCAGCTGATAACTGTTGGTGGGCCCTGGCCCCATCTACGTGTCCGACGCAGAGGCCTCATCAGAACCTTCCCCGGTCTCCAGGACTGGCCCACGTTCCTCCCCAACCTCCTCACTGTCCGAGTCTACTGGTGGGCCACCACACCAACATGTCTCAACCTTCACAGTTTTAAAAATGGGGTGGACTTCACCTGCCAGAATTCCGCAGCAGAGCTGGCAGGGCTAGTTAGAGACTTCTGGGAGCTGAAGTCCACCCACCTTAAAATTGTCAAAATTGAGGGATGTTGTTATCTATCCAGTGAAGGGTACAATTAAGTGCAATGGACAGGTCGGATAAGTGATCTCACATACATCATGGTTTACAGTGGCCACGCCTTCCGTCATTTCAGAAAACTGTCCTTTGGGTTTGTTTCATTTTCAAAAAGGTCCCCCTTTACCGCAAAAATGGTCCCCACAATTCCTGGACGGAAGTTGTTCCACTGATTAAACGTCCTCACTGTCGGGAAATGGCTCCTTAATTCAAGATTGGATCTCTCCTTGGTAAGTTTTCCATCCATTATTTCTTGTCCTGCTCTCTGGTGCTTCGGAGAACAGAACAGAACAGAATACCAGAATTGGAAGGGACCTTGGAGGTCTTCTTGTCTGACCCCCTGCTCAAGCAGGTGACCCTATACCGGTGGCGGTTAATCTTTTGGGGCTCCCGTGCCAAAAATTGTGCGCACGCTTGTGCTCACGTGCCAACACCCAGAACGCAATGCCGCCCCGCGCATGCATGTGTAATCCCTACCCACCCACTGCCCCCTTACCTGCACTGCGCTTCACAGCTAATTTTCGGCCAGGTGGAGGCCTTTTTCGGCCTCCCAGAGGCTTGAGGAAGGCTTCTGCAGGTATTGCAGGCCGAAAACTAGGCCCGTTTCGTCACTTCTGGTATTTTCGGAAAAAACAGGAAGTGATGAAACAGGCCTAGTTTTTTGGCCTGTAAAGCCTGCAGAAGCCGTCCTCAAGCCTCTGGGAGGCTGAAAAAGGCCTCAAACCTGCCGAAAGTCAGCTGTAAGGCGCGCGCATGTGCAGTGAGATAAGTTTGCCTGCGGTCGTTTGCAGGTATTGGGTAAAATATGGCAGTAGATAAAAGAAAGATTTGGGGTGATAAGATAGCAGTCTTCCAATATTTGAGGGGCTGCCAAAGAGAAGAGGGAGTCAAATTATTTCCCCAAAGCACCTGAGAGCAAGAAGCAACGGATGGAAACTCATCAAGGAGAGAAGCAACCTGGAAGTAAGGAGAAACTTTCTCATAATGAACCAGTGGAACTGCTTGCCACCAGAAGTTGTGGGTGCTTGATCACTGGAGGTTTTTAAGAAGAGACTGGACACAGCCATTTGTCTGAAATAGTATAGGGTCTTTTGCTTGAGCTGGGGGTTGGACTAGAAGACCTCCAACGTCCCTCCTGACTCTGTAATTCCTCCAACAAACTTCGTCACTTCTTCTCTTAGATAGTTTGCAAAGGAAACAGAAACCAAGAAAGAAAGTCTTTTGGGAAAAGTTTTTGTTTTTTAAGGACATCCTACGGAGGGTTAAGTTCTAGCTTTATGCTTCACCGTTGTTTTCTGCCCTTCTCCATCCAGGATCCCAAAACCCAGAAAGTGGCCGATCTGACCTTGAAAGTGACCGACTTTGTGGATCCAGAACATCTGGCAGATTTTGACAAGTAATTGAAGTTCTTTCCACTTATTTAAGGAGGGGTTATAAAAAGGGTTGGGGTGGCATAAAATGCAGGGGACCATTCGTACACAGAGGCCTGGGTTGCTGGGATCTGTACAGTGCAAGCCTGGAATTTATTAATGTTTATGTATGGATCAATATATCACACCTTTTATTTTTATAAATGACTCAAAGCAGCAAACGTACCTAGTAATCCTTCCTCCTCCCATTTTCCCTGCAACAACAACCCTGTGAGGTGGGTTGGGCTGAGAGAGAGGGACCGACCCAAAGTCACCCATCTGGCTTTCATGCCTAAGGGGAGACTAGAACTCTCTATCTCCTGGTGATCGTCCCAAAGTCATCCAGATAGCTTTCATGTTTATGACAGGACTAGAACTCTTTGTCTCCTGGTGATTGGCCCAAAGTCATCCAGATGACTTTTATATTTATCTTAGAACTAGAACTCCCTGTCTCCTGGTGATTGGCCCAAAGCCACCCAGATTGCTTTCATATTTATCTTAGAACTAAAACTCTCTGTCTCCTGTTGATTGGCCCAAAGTCATCCAGGTAGCTTTCATGTTTACGTCAGGACTAGAACTCTCTGTTTCCTGGTGATTGGCCCAAAGCCACCCAGATTGCTTTCATATTTATCATGGAACTAGAACTCTCTGTCTCCTATTGATCAGCCCAAAGTCATCCAGGTAGCTTTCATGTTTATGTCAGGACTAGAACTCTTTGTCTCCTGGTGATTGGCCCAAAGTCGCCCAGATGACTTTCATATTTATCTTAGAACTAGAACTC